GTGTACAACTAATGTACACTAAGCATTTTCCATAAATTTAAGAGGATATAACAGTTGAGATATACATACTACACATCATTTGTACGTGCTGCCAGCCTGCCAATATCGAAGAACACTGGATGCTTTTAAACGAGGCAGTAGACAAGAATAGGCATGGTAATGGGTCCGATCGGAGCGGGGTGGATGCTGTAAGATCCAAACCCGTTTTGTGACTTTATTGGGTGGACCCGCCGAATTGATCGAAGAGCTCCCACCGAATTAATCGAATTGATCGAAGAGCAAAAAAATAAAGATAGGAGCACATGGCCTTCTCCAACACTTAGATTGAAAATGTTTTCTACTTGAAACCCCACTACAGTTTTAAAATATGGCTAGAATAATTAATCTAAATATGATTATTACAATTAAGTTTATTAACTCGTGAAAAGAAATGTGTAAAATAATTACTCCTTCCGTTTTTTAATACATGTCTCTCTTTCCATTTTGGGATGTTCTTTTATGCATGTCTCCATTTCCATTTTTAGAATTTTTTCCCAATAAATATACATATATACGCTCATTCTCTTTCTTACTTTTTCATTCACTTTCCTACTTTTTCCTTTACACACAACTCACTATACCTTTTATTCTACCCCTATTAATTTCTTCTTAAACCTTGTGTCAAAGGCTATACTCCCATCTATTAGAGAACGGAGGAAGTATTAATGTATGTTTATTCATCTTTACTTCTTTAATCATAAAAACGATTGAAGTAGTTGTACTAATTGTATAAATAAAATTTAATAGTTGTCCTTAAAAGTCATTTAACAAGTTATCAGCTAATTGTAAATAGCTATTTAACCAAACACTATTTTAGAAACTGTTAATCCTATCAGCCAATAAAAATAGCCAACTGAAACTACTGACATCAATCTGCTAACACAATCAGCCAACAGCTAACAACCAACAGCCAATTGCCAAACACTCCCTTATTTTTTACTCCGTATTACTTATTCTTATCTTATTTAGATTAGACAAGATTAGATAAAAAGTCAAATCAGATTAGCCCAAAACATTCAATCTAGATTAGATTAAATAAAAAAAATAGACCCGATCGGAAAATTCAAATCGGAAAGGTTCATATATAATTTGTTATTTTTACCATTATGATTATTCCAATCTAATCTGAATATTTTTGTAGGTTATTATTGCAAGTTGCTTCCATTGAAATTAATTATGAATACTGTTATTATTTTTTTCTGATGCAACTTCTTAAAAATCATATTTTAAGAACATTTTTATTATTTGTATGTTATTATAGTCATTATTTGTATGTTATTCAGAAAAATATCAGATAACATCAGATTTTAAAATTTTCTAATCATAAATATTCATATCCGGCGAATATAACAACTTCTTAATATCAACCATATTAATGGAGTATAATTCTCGGAATAAATACCATATCAATTCACTTTCCAAAATAATGGACTACATCAATTTTTTTAAAAATGAGACTCCAAATCTCTAATACATGTAATAGGACTATAATCACAATAAAAAACCTACAAATTTGAGTGAGGCTCTAATTCAAGACCAAAATTTTAAATAATGGAATTTTTGTCACGTATTACGGGACTCTAATCGCACAACACCAATAATACACGTGAATATCCAAAACAATGTAAAATTATAAATTCCACATATTTCCAACTCCAATTCAACACTTCGTATAATCTTCCTCATCATATATTTAGAAGCTGTTCTCTTCGCCTGATCTGAATGTTTCTGATCTGAATTTTTTAAGTTCTGATCTGATCTGATCTGAATTTTTCTGATCTGATCTGATCTGATCTGAATCTGTCTGATCTGATCTGATCTGATCTGAATCTTTCTGATCTGATCTGATCTGATCTGAATCTTTCTGATCTGATCTGAATGTTTCTGATCTGGTCTGATCTGATCTGAATGTTTCTGATCTGATCTGAATCCTTCTGATCTGATCTGAATCTTTCTGATCTGATCTGATTCGAATATTTCTATGATTTAATTATAATTATAATTATAATTATAATTATAATTATTATAATTGCAATTACAAATATAATTTAAATAAAATTATAATTATAATTGTAATTATAATTACAATATTTATCTCTATATTTATAACTATAGTTATCAATATTATTATAATTACTCCGTAAAATAATTACAATAGTAATAATAATAATAATAATATTAATAATTATAATAAAAATAGTAATTATAATCATAAATTATAATTATAATATAATTATAAGTATAATTATAATTATTATAATTATAATTAATAATAATTATAATTATATTAACATTAATTATAATATTATAATTTAATAATAGTAATATAAATACAATTAATATTATTATAACGACATTATTATATTAATATTATTATTACAAAAATATAATAATAATATGATTATTATTATAATTAGTATTATATTATTATAATATTATATTATAATTATAATTATAATCATAATTATAATTATGATTGTAATTATAATTATAATTATTATAATTATAATTAATTACAATTATATTTATAATTAATTATAGATATAATTATAATAATTACAATTGATTATACTTATAATTATAAGAATTATAATTGTAATTATAATTATAATTACATATAATTATAATATAATATTATAATAATATTAATCATATTATTATTATTATATTGTAATAATAATAATAATAGTCTTCTTAACAATTGCATTTATATTACTATTATTATATTAAAATATTATAACTATTATTAATATCTTTTTTTATCATATTATTATTAATATTATTAATAATAATTATATAATAATAATCATATTAGTAATAAAAATATTAATAATAATAATTAATATTTAATATAATAATAAAAATGATAAATCATGTTTGAACTTTTCTGATCTGATCTGATCTGAATGTTTCTGATCTGATCTCAATGTTTCTGATCTGGTCTGATCTGATCTGAATCTTTCTGATCTGATCTGAATCTTTCTGATCTGATCTGATCTGATCTGAATCTTTCTGATCTGATCTGATCTGATCTGAATTTTTCTGATCTGATCTGATCTGATCTGAATTTTTCTGATCTGATCTGATCTGGTCTGAATAAAATAAGAATAAGCAATAAGTAATAAGAATAAGACGAACAGAACAGCACCTTAGTCATATAAAGAATTAATAACTATTACAATACTAAACACATAAATCACAATATAACCCAAATCCTTACTCCAAAAGATGGCGATTCATCACCCGTATTCCATGGTGGTAGTTGCTTCATACTACCTTCGTCCCTCTTTATTTAATCATATTTGATTTTTCCAATCAAAGATGATAACCTTTGATATATTATTTTAACTAATATATTTATGTGAAACATAATAAATTTATACTTTTATGAGCAGGAAGTTTTAACAAAAAAACATTTTCATATCATGTCCATATTATCATTACTACCGTATATCAATAAGTAACCGATCAAAGTTCAACATCATTGACTTAAAAAATAGTGTTTGGTTAAATATAAAGTGACGGAGGGAGTAAAAGAAATCGAGTATAGTCTCACCCACCCTCTTCCCTCTGCATCACCAAGCCCACCTGCTTCACCAGATCCCAGTCCTAGCGGTCAGATTTCTAAGCCTTAGCAATGGAGACCATTACAGAAGGATAGATTGAAGAAGGGATGAAATAGCAGAAGAAGGAATGAAATCGCAAAACTTCTGAGCTTCTCCAGTCGTCAATGGATTCCAAGCTTCGCTCGCCATCTATTGGAGCCATCTCCAAAGCGTCGTCCTTCATTCCGATCTCTGGAGTGGATTTGGAGCAGACACGACGGAAAAACAAAGCTTGTGGAGCAGATATGGAGCGGGCGGCATCTGGTGGTGTAGGCGGCGAGATTCGTTGTCTTCGACGGAGCTGGTGACGGAAGAAGATAGGTGATGCAGATCTCGGAGTAGACGCGAAGAGCTGATTGATCTCGGATGAAGATGCGGATGGATGCGGGCGACCTGTCTAATTCACGGGAGATGGAGCCATGGAGGGAGAGGTCACTTTTTTGGAAAAACCAAAAGTGGTCATATTTTTTTAATTAGAAACCTACGGAGTAATATTAGGGCCATTATTTCAAGATAAAAACACGGGAACATAAATGAAATGCAAGCTGGAATAGTGGATTAAACCGGTAATTACCACTTTTTAATATAGTTGTGTTTGGTATAACAACCAAGTTGTATATAATTAAGGGAAAGTTCCCGAAATGGGACTAAAAAAGTTTGAAAATTCCAAAATAGGACTGTCATGTTTTTATTCCCAAAATAGAACTAATTACTGCCAAATTTGGAAAATACTGCCATGTTTGAAGTCTGGTACTGCCAAAACATGGCAGTAATTAGTCCTATTTTGGGAATAAAAACATGGAAGTCCTATTTTGGAATTTTCAAACTTTTTTAGTCTCATTTTGGATAATATCTCTATAATTAATAATGCTAAAAAATGCAAACTTTATTGCAAAAACTACTTAATGTAACTTCTCGAAATAAATCTTAACTTTTTTTAACAAGCTCTTAAAATTGTTGTACACACACAACTACGAGTTTTAGAGACTTTAAATAAGATGCGAAACAAGAAAATATCACTGATTTCAAGCCTATTTATAAGAAGATGATAGTACTAAAAATAAAGCCAGCTAAAATAGTACTAAAGTGAAACAAGAAAAATATCACTGATTTCAAGCCTATTTATCAGTCCACTTTCATCAATAGTTCACAAGGATTATGGCAACCCGCTTCCTCAACTTATATACTCCGTATTAGCTTCTAATAGAATCTCCCAGGAGTTTTTTTATCAGCAATTTTTGTAAAATTTGGTTTCTTTGAGAAGCTTGTTCTCCTAGTCATGTTAAAATTTGAATCCATTCATCTCTTATTTTGTTAATGGTATTTCTACTTGTTTTTTAAAGCCCAATAAAGGAGTTGACTAAATAACTAATGATATCTTCTCTTCGACACTTGCTTCTGAGGATTCTTTTATTCGACCAGAATATATGAAAATTGTCGCATAGCAAAACCAGCTCTAGAAACAGAGCATAGTACACTTTAAAGCCTTACATGAACACTGAGACTCGTAACAGGGCCTATACCAAGTGAAATTCATGCAAACAGATCTATGCCCCAAAACTTTGCCGGTTGATTGGTCCTATAGTTTCTGTCGAGCCTCTTGATCTGTTCCATGTCCTCTTCGCCAAGTTCAAATCCGAAAACACTGATATTTTCTTCAAGTCTTGCGAGCTTTGATGACTTTGGTATCACCACTGTGTTCCTCTGGATGCCCCACCGGAGCACAACCTGAGCCACTGTCTTCTTATACTTCTCAGCAATGCCCTTTTATACACATTCACACAATAGAAAACATAAATCCCAAATGATTACTGCAAGTTCCATTTAAAGCACTTATTTTTTCTAAGAAATAAAAAATATATGCAAGAAAGATGGTTTACTTTGAGAATGGGATCTTCAAGGCATGATGCTGAACCAAACATGTCAGTGTTGGCAACAGCACCACCAAGAGGAGTGTGGGCCGTAACACATATTCCGTGTTTCTGACAGAATTTGATGAGGGAATCGCGCTGGAAGTAGGGGTGTGTCTCGACTTGGTTCACAGCAGGCTTGATCTTTGAATATGCTAAGCAATCCCGGGTAAGGAAAATGTCATAGTTGCTGCACACATGAATTGGCATTGCAATATGGTCAAGCTACATGCAAGTTATACTGAGTATTTAACATCAACATGCAAGAATACTTTTCCAGCACTGTTATTGTATAGTGTTACTAAGGTTCTGTTTAGTAACATTATTTGGCTTATTCTGTTTTTTCTTTTTTGTTTTCTTTTTTTTTACCCCAGGGGGCGTCAGGGGGAGGGGGGTTGGGAGGCCTGGGGTAAACTGGGATCAATTTCACTCCATTGAGAATTGAACCCGGGACCTCCCATAATGAGAGTGAGTCGGCGACAGCTGGGCTGGACCGCTTCCTCTTTTGGCTTATTCTGCTCATTAGCACAATAAGTAGCTTTTGACTTTTCTATTTCTGATAACTCAGGAACTCCTTGCGTACACTAGCAGAGCTCAACCATCTTGCTAATGTGGCGCCCATCCCTGGGGCTGACCAATATGCCAGCATTTGAATCACTTGCTGAGGAGCCACGGATGACCTCACAAGGAGTGGAACTTCGGTAGAAGGCATACTCAAGAGCCTAAGCTTGCCCAGTTACCCAACCAACTACCATGCCTGAACGCTTTTGACTTATGTGGCAGAAATGGATGTAACAAAAGGTCTTTCAGAAAATTCAGCCAGTAATTGAATAATCCTTACCTAATGGTCCCTATTATTATCTAGGGACAAGTTTGTTTGTGTGTGAAAGGTGGAGACGCATAATCTCTTACTGTAGTGCGAGTAATAACTAGGATGTCTTGTGGAGTACTTTCCTGCCTGGAACAGCATCTTAACACCATCACATTATCATTGGTGTAATGGTTTTGGTCTTTGCAATTAGCCTATCAGCACATACTAACTTGTAGCACTGTAACAGGATAATGCACCACCTGTATGACTACTGCTCGTATAAAGAAAAATAAAAAAAATGGTATTCCGGACAACAATTTATTCCAAGCAGTAACATGAATGAAGAAAAGTATGCATCAAGTCAAACTCAAACCCTTAGAAACAACTTCGTTAAAAATAAATAAACAAAAAAGAGTACCTGATTCCTATACTGCGAACCAGGCCTTTGGAAACAAGATCCTCCATGGCATGCCAAGTAGCCTCTAATGATATGGTGGTGTCTATGTCCAGAACTCCATCCTCCCCCATTGCACTTGCCGTTGTACCAACTCCTGTACAGGTGCACCAAATGTGAAATAACAAACAACCTTACTAGGGACAAATTGATATTTTGAGAATTTGTGGTATCTGGCACACAATATACATGAGAAAATGAAATGATCCAACTACAAAAAAAATAGCAGACATGCATGTCCACCTGTATGTTTTGTGGCAATAGGGAAGTGAACAAGGTAAAGGTCTAGATAATCCAAGCGTAGCTTGCTCAAACTGTCTTTACAGGCCTCAAGAACATGACCATGGTCCGAGTTCCACAACTGGGGAAAAAATCACTCACAAATATTAAATTTGTTTCATACTTAGAAAAAACCCAAGGTATCAGACAAATCTATGTGGTTTGAAATGGTTGGACCAACCTTGGTTGTGACAAAAAGATCTTCCCTCTTGACGATACCAGTCTGGAGAGCCTCCTCGAGAGCCTCCCCTACCTCCATTTCATTTTTGTAGTCAGCTGTAAGCAAAGAAAAGTAACCAGTGTTAGATTCTAAGAAGGTAGACCCAACATAAAGCCCTATACTATAGAGGGAACAAGTTAGTAGACGCCTACAGCAGAAGACTCAGGGAGATGGTCCACAGAACCTTTGTATGTCTAACTGTCTATGTATAGTATTGCATTGAAGATTTGAAGTCTGTACATTCTCTGGAGAGGTAGACGCCTAGATTTCTACATTTATACTAAATCTAGTAAATATGTCCTTATATAAATTATAATGGTGGGATAAATACAGTCATTACTGAGTAGTGAACAGTAAGAGCACAAATGTTCTTGTAACATACAAACATCTGAGTACTAAGTGTGGTCAAGCCTTCCCTTACGCGTCAATTTGGATTCATGATTTTGGAGGGTTTTGAATGCAGGCTTTCTACACTCAAAAGACTCCGAAATTCTACATCCAAACTGAGGACCCTTAGCTGACAGTTGACAAGGGTGAAGTGATGGACACTTCCTTCCTTAGGGACCAAGCGGTAGGTCAGCCCGTCGGGTAGCAAATCTCTAGCTTAAATGCTCAATAAAGCAAAATGTAAGGAACCCATCCAAAGAGCAATTGTAAGTCAACATAATGAAGAAACATTCACAGATGGTACTTGCTCCTAGAAGCATCTGATATATGAGAACCCTATACTGTCCCATTTGTAATCCAATTCTAATATCTTCTTTCTTATCATGTTCAAATTTAATTTCCGACTAGAATTGCTCAAAAACAAATCATGCATTCCACGAGAGTATCACGAAATAGTGTGACCATTAAATAGCAAAATTCAAATTGCTGAGAAGAAGCAAAAAAGGAGTTTGATTTTACCAGCGCAGTCAAAGTGACGATATCCGAGCTTAATAGCATTGTTGATAAGGTTCTTAATGTCTTTGCCTTCCATGCGCCAAACGCCGAGACCAATTACCGGCATTTGGTAGCCGCTGTTCAGAGTAATGGCCGCCATTTCTTCGAATTCTCGCAGATTTGCTCTCTTCGCTTATTGCCTACTACACGAACGTTTGCGTAGCTCTCTCTATAACTCTTTATGAGTACTACTAGACACTGACTCACTGAGTACACACGTCTCTTTTATTTAGCACCACACTGACTCAGCACTCAAACACGTGTCCGTTATGCTTCTTTACTTTTCCGTGTATCTCTCCGTTCCTACCTTTTTTTCGTTTGTCCGAAAACTAAAACATTTCTTTTTCAAGCATGCAATAATCCGCAATCTTTATTTAATTAATCCCCTCTCCTTTATAGATACTACTATCTCTAATCGTAATCCTTTTTAGTTGCACAAACATTGTTTGAGTTTTAAAATATTAGGTTGATTATATTTTATTTATTAATATATTACTACATAAATTAATTTATTTCAGGCTGCTTCTACTTGGAGTCGACCGCATCCGGGGAAACTCAAGCTAAATGTGGATGCCGCTGTCCGTTCTGGAAGTTGTGGGATTGGATGGTGCTTGCGAGATGATACTGGCATATTTGTGGCAGGAGTGGCTCGACCTTGGCGAGGCAATTTATCTCCTTTGGAGGCGGAGTTGCTCGGGATTAGAGAGGCTTTGTGTTGGCTTCTAGAACAAGGATGGATGGACATCGAAGTAGAAACTGATGCGGCCTGTGCTATTTCAGAAATTTCGAAGGGAATCAGTTGTTCTTCAGTGGGATTATTAGGCGATGACATTCGAGACTTGGCGAAGCTTTTTTCAAGCATCTCATTTAGTCATATTAGGCGATCAGCGAACAAGACGGCCCATGCCTTAGCAAAAGCCGCTTGTTCTGTGTCTGATTCGCGTTCTTGGTTTCATTTTCCTCCTACGTTTATTGTAGCTACTTTGGACAATGATTTGATTAATGCTAATTAAGTCTTTTCCTTGCAAAAAAAAAAAAAATTAATTTATTTTAAATATTACTCCCTCCGTCACTCAATTAAGTTCTTCATTGCTTTTCATATTTATTAAGGAAAAAAATTTATTGGAGGTAAACCTTAGGGCCTGTTTACTAACAGAGATATTTTCCAGTTTTCCAGAAAACTGGAAAACTGGAAAACAAAAAACAGGAAACGTGTTTACCAAAGAAATTCCTGGAGAAAGGAAAAAAGAAAAACGCGTTTACCAAATCGTTTTCCAAAACGGAAAAAATGAGACATGTCTCTCTTTTCCTTAATGATTTGGAGAAGTGACTTTTACTAGTTTTCCAAATTTGGAAAACGCAGATGCCACAGTGCCGCTGCAATGAATTTGCATACGTACACCTAGTGGTGGGTCCAGTCCCGCTCCGATGTCGATTCCATTCTGGTACCTCCATCCTCGTACCTTACCCCTTACCCCTACCCTACCCTACCATACCTTACCCACCCAACCCCCACCCCGCATACCCATTTTTCCCTATAATGACCCTACCCCACCCCCTACCACCTCGACCCCACCCCGACCCACCCTACCCTACCCCCCACCCGTATATTACCCCTTACCACATGCGCCTACCTCGGCCCCCACCCCACCGCCATCCTACCCCACCCTCGTACCGCCATCCTGCCAGCACCCTTCCGCCTAGGGGTGGACTCAGGCCGGGTGGCCCGACCTGGAACCGGCCTGGCCCGGCACTGTTCCGGGCCCCCATTCCTGAACCGGAGGCCCGACCCGGGACCGGCTCGAGTCCACCCATACTTCCGCCATCCTACCACCATCGTACCCCCCCCCCCCCACCATACCCTTCCCCTACCCTGGCCCCACCCAGATCCCGGGCCCATCCTACCGCCATCCTATCCCACTACCCCTACCTTACCCCAACCCTACCCCGGTCCCGGCCCCACCTTACCGCCATCCTATACCAACTTCATACCCTACCTCTACCTTAGCCCAAACCCTACCCACTACCTCACCCTTACCCCTAACCACGACCCTAACCCACCCACTACCCCCCACCCAACCCCTACCCCTAGACCTTATCACCCCACCCCCGACCATACCCCTTACCCCCACCCCCACCCATAACTTCCCTACCCCGACCGCTACGAGTAGGTATGGGTGGGTATGAAGGGTTGTGGGGGAGTATGGGTAGAGTGTAAGATCGTGGTAAGAGTAGGGGTCAAGGGTGTGGAATTGGAGTTATGGGTAAAACAAAATTGATGAACATGTTTTCAGATTTGGAAATGGAAAACTAAAAAATAGAAACAGAAAATCGGAGATAGAAAAACTGAAAAATAAAAACAGAAAATTGGAGAACGAAAAACAGAAGTAGAAAACAGGAAAATATCTCTGTTAGTAAACAGGCCCTTACTGTTTTGACACTGTTTGGAAACTGTTTGGACACTGTTTTGTACTGTTTGGCACTGTTTTGATGTAATTAATTTGCCAGATAAGGAAATGTGAACTTAATTCAGGGACTACCAAAAAAGAAAGAGGGAACTTAATTGGGGGACGGAGGGAGTATTAAACTCCTCTATTTTAAATTTTACAAATCTGTTTTTTTTTTTTAACTTTTTACTAATAAGGAATGAAAGATATTAATAGTCAAATTTATGCATTAGCTATGATTACAAACGCGAAAAGTGGGCTGTTGCAATTAAAAGAAACAAAAGAAATATAAATTAAATTTTCTTAATTAATAATTGAAGAATGATATTTTTTAAGAGAAAACTGTCAATTTGGTCTTCGTACTTTCATGAAAAAAAATCAATAAGGTCCTTCTACTTTTAAAAATCAAATTCTTGAATTTGTAAAAAAATTCAATTGAGTCCATTTGCAGGTTACTTGTCATGTCAGTATGTCACCCGCTGACGTGGCACACATGTGGCAGCCCAATTAGCAATAAATTTGCTGACATGGAATACATGTGGAAGTCCATACAGCCATTTGCCGATGACGTGACACACACGTGAATCGCCATGTGTGTCCCACGCCAGCGGATGACCTACTGACATGACAAGTAACATGCAAATGTACTCAAATGAACGCTTTTACAAAATTTGAGGATTTAATTGAGGGAAAACAGTCAAATAGGTCCTCGAACTTTCATAAAAAGGTCAATTAAGTCCTTCTATAGGATGTTATGTCCGACCGTCGCGATTTGGGGCAGTTCCCGGTGGAATATTTTGATGAAATTTTTTGAGCATCTTATTCACCAAGTCTAGTTTACTCATACCAAATTTCAGCTAAAAATTCAATCGGGAACACATTCAAATTAATTCATGAAGATAACTACGCATTTTTTCGTTCTCGAATTAATTTGAATGCGCCCCTGATTGAATTTTTAGTTGAAATTTGGTATGAGTAAACTAGACTTGATGAATAAGATGCTCAAAAAAATTCATCAAAAAATTCCACCGAGAACCGCCCCAAATCGCGACGACTGGACAGAGTCTCCTATAGAAGGACTTAATTGATTTTTTTATGAAAATTCGAGGACCTATTTGACAGTTTTCCCTTTCATTGATTTTTTTTAAGTACGAGGGCCTAATTGATTTTTTCATAAAAGTATGAGGACCAAATTGATAGTGTCTCTATTTTTAATATGAAAATATTTAGGATGCGAAAAGTAAATGAAAATTGTTGTTTATGATTATTCAAAAAGAAAAATTGGGCGAAGTATGTGAAGGGGTTAGAAGTTAAGAAGCGTTTTAGTTAACAAAAATGTGAACTGGGGTGAGAGAGGCTCGAACTCTCGACCTCAGGATAACTCAGAAGCTATGAGACCTACGCGCTAGCCAACTGCGCCACCACCCCAATGTGAAAGTATCTGTGGTTTGTACGTATTTATATCATCAATATGTCCGTCATATGTCCGTAAACAATGGAAACAGCAACGAGGCTGCCGCCTGCGAAGCGGGGTTTAACTTTCTCAGCTCCGATCGACCCCATCGCATGTTACACGGGTTTAATGCACCAAACCCCCTTATGATTTGAAAATTCGGCGCATTAGTTCCTGTGATTTAAAAAATGCGTCAAACCCCCTTGTGTTTTAATTAATCATGCGCCAAGTCCCTTATGTGAATAAATTCAATTGTCAAATAAAAGAAAAATGATTAACATTTTTGTATGATTCAGAGATTTTGACATATTTATTTGCATATTCAATCAAAATATTAGGAAAAGTGATTTTCAAATCATTAAATTTATTCATAAAGGAGGTTCTGTGCATGATTAATTAAAACACAAGGGGGTTTGACGCATTTTTTAAATCATAGGGGGCTAATGCGCCGAATTTCCAAATCACAAGGGAGTTTGGTGCATTAAACCCCATGTTACACATAGGAGCCAGTCAGTCATTGACTTCACCTAATGCCAATCGAATCGAATAATGAGATTTTGTATTTGTATAATTTTTTCGAATACGAATTCGAATTCAAATATGAAACGAATATTAATTTCGATTTGTATTTGTTTAATAATACGAATAGTTAACGAATCATATACGAATATCGAATCAATTTGAGCATAAGTTAAATATCGTCAAATATCACTTTTAAATAATTTTTCTTATACTTTGTGTTTTTTATGTAAATGCGTGCTAATTGCTATGACTTAATATGTGTTTTTAGAATTTAAATTTAATAGATCAATGCATTTTTAGATGGTGCACAATATACTAACGTGAATTAATTTTATGATTCATAAATATAAATCTATTTCAAAATTTTTGAAATATACACTAACCCACACATATTAGAAATTATACTTATAATGTGTGAAATAAGTTAATAATTGTATATATCAAAGTCAAACAACTTTAATTTTATTCTTCAAATCAGATATATAATTATTTGTATTGTATTTGAAAGACATTTAAAACAAAAAAAATGATTTGTATTCGTATTTATATTCTGGTTTAATTTATTACAAATGAGCTTGGAATCTGTATGCAAAAATGTATATATGGGTTACACTTTGAGGATATTGCTATCTTTTAAAAGTTACTCCGTATTATAGTGTTATTACTATTATTATTGTTATTATTATTATTGATATTAATATTATCATTATTATTAATCGAATATATGATTAACATTCGAATCAAATATACTGATATTCTTATTTGTATTTGATAACAACTCGAATCAAATTTAATATTCTTATTTGTATTTG